AATCTGTCCATTTATCAGAAGTTTCGAGGATGAAATTCTTCTAAGGAGGGTAGAATCTGACAACCCAAAATTTAATTTTCTAAATTCTATTTTCGAAATTCCAAAATAGCTATTTTTTCACCCTTCCAAAATTTATTTCGAAAATGGTGCATGAATTAAATATTTTGAGCTAAGTTTTTAAATAAATTCAACGCTGAAATTTATTTTATTTCAGAAATCCTAAATTTTCGGGTACATTTATGTACCGAGTTGTGACCCGAAAAGCAAATCTGAGTGAAACCGGAAAGAAATCTGATAAAACTGAACCAAGTGTTTAACAAGAAAACATTTTTGGGAAATTTATTTTGACCCCAAAGTTAACCAAAATTCACTTTTAGACTATGGTTCATGATGCAAGGTGGACCATAAGCCTCCAACCTTTGTGTGATCATTTAGAGTTCAAGCAAATTTCCCATTTCACCCACAACCAATCATTTGCCTCTTCACCTAGGGTTTTGCACCCTATAAAAACCAACACTACTCATTCTTGTTTCCTAATCTCATTCCCTTGCATCTCCCAAGTTGTGTCTGCTAAGAAAGAAGAAGCATTACAGTAAGTTTTCTCATCATATCTCCTCAATTCATTTCTATCTTACCTTAAGGTTTCCTTATAGTCTCCAATCTCTAAGATTCCTTAGCCTTAGTTTGTGTTCTTGTTTGGGGTGTTTAGGTGGTGAAGGAAGTGGTGGAAGTTGAGTGGAGAGGAGGCTGAGATCAAAGCAAGGAGGAAGAACAAGAAGAGGTATAAACCATGGACTCCCAAACTACCATTTTCATTCTCTATTAGGTGTTATTTTGAGACTTAGTTGTGTTGAAATGCTAAATAGTTGTTGTGGTCATTTGTGGTGGTTTATAAGTGTTGTTCTGTATTGGTTTTGCATTTACAGGGAAGAAGTTGCTAACTGGTGCACACAGATGGTGCACTAGTGGACTCAACGGAGCTAGGCAACGGACTGCGCCATGGTCCGTAGGATAGCCCAGTTGAGGGACGGTCAATGGCAACGGACCATGGCATGGTCCGTTGCCAGGCACCGCTACTTGGCGGAGACAAGTGGCGGGGCTTCCCAAGCCTCGCCACCAAGCTCCGCCAGGCTATTCTACGTACTGGCTAGGCCCTTTGAAGCTGAGCTACGCGTTGTTCAGACTGGGGCTAGTGGGCCCATGAGGCTTGGAAACTCGGGCCTGTTACAACTCACTCGTAGAAGTTCGTTTCGTTGAATTCAGAGTTGTAAAGCAGGATTTATAGTTGAATTTGCCAAGTTTGAGTATGTTGTTGTTGTTGCTATTGCCATTAAACCATTCCTCTGTGTGTGTCAATGCATCTGATTATATTTTATGAGTTGAGAAGCATGCCTAAAAACTTGTTAGTATTTATTGAGAAGTTTTGCTATGCCTTGAGAATTGTTGCATAAGCAGTACTTGTTTTTGAGAATTACAGTGAATGAGATTTGAGTTGGTTTATAGTGAAGAGTTCGTGTTAGTGCATTTCATTAATTTAAAGTGTATCATTAGCTCTAAATAAACCTAAGTTCACTTTCAAAAACCAATATCTATCTTGGAAAATCATAATCAATTTGCATAAGTAGAGTTTGTGGCATGAGAAAGATGTTGCATGATGCATATCTATATATGTATCTATTGTGAGGCAATTTCGTTTTCGGATGCCCGTTAGGACTATGTCCTTTCGGAAGAAAAGTGAAAGAAAGAAATTTTGAGAATGAAATGGGCATTGCGGTCCGATGTCATTAACGAAAGGCGTATTCCCACGTTACTAGGTTGGATACTACTCGCCGGCCTTGGAATCCCGGTTAGGGGGTGTATACACTGACAAGTACGATACTTGATTTCACCGAGTTTGAGTTTAGAACCCGAGAGAGTGGTTCTGTGAGCGAGATGGTTATTAAGCCGGCTAGATGCCGAGCCCGGATCAGGTCCACTCACAAGTGGTGAAGTTCTTGCCTCGCCCACATTTAAAGATGTGAAAGTGAGTCTGTGTGACTCAAAGAGAAAGTTGAGAAAGTGAGTGTATGTGACTCAAAGGGAAAGAAGAGAAAAATGGATTATTGTGATTCAACAGGAACCTCCAAAGAAAAAGTATACTTTTGCTTTGAGCGTGAGAGTATATATTGTTAAGTTGTATATCTGGTTGACTCATTTGTTTGCATGTGTTGCATTTAGATATTGTTAAGTTGTATATCTGGTTGTTGCTTATTGTTTGACATGATAGCAATGGTTTGTATATTGAGTTATGTTTACTTGTAATTATTGAAGCATGAGTGTTGTGTTAAGTTGAGCACTTGTGAAAGCATGACTATTGTGTTGTTTATATATTCACTAGTTTGCAAGCATATAGATTTGTCTATGAACTGTGGAGTTGTTGTTTAAGTGTTGAAATACTTGTAACTACGTGTGTATGCTAAATGATTTTCAAAACCTATATTCTATAGTACTTTACAGGGTTGAGTGGTTTTATACTTAGCATTATTTTGCTAACGGGTTTATTTTCAAACTGTTTTTGTAACCCCTTTCAGGTGGGCCGAGTTGTTGAGCGTGCACGAGTAGTTGTAGTGCGTAAATGAGTAGTTAGTTGCTAGATATTTTATGTTTTGGTGATTGAGTTTAGACTCTGTTGTTCATTTTCATATACTTGTTGATTTCTGACTTAGTTACTCTTTTGTTGGTGTTGAACACCGGGGTTATACCCCAAACTTTGCAGTTATTTTATTGAAGTGACCTGTTTAGTTTTCCCTTTTTAGCCTGTGCAGTCACCTCGAGTGGTGATTGTGGCGGTAACACCTGTTGGTTGGTTTTTAGTTGGTTTAAGTTATTGAAATATTTCTTTATTTCTTGTTTAGCTTGTCTTATTAAGTTAAGTATTTGGGAATTTTGATTAAAAGAATGGGGTGTTACACTATGTGCTTAGTTCTTTAATGCTTTAATATATTATTATTTGGGTTTTAACTTGTGTTGCAATTGTGTTTCATATTATTGTTGCTAGTAGTTTAGGGCCCAAATAACTTGGTTCATAACTTTGTTTGTGTCACAACGGGAGTTGGGCATAATTTATGGTACACACAATTGCACTTAACTGTTGCACCTTGGGAGAGGACAAATATGTTATGGAGTTTAATTCTTGATTGTTACACATCGGGAGATGGTAGTAATTAGGGACTTATTATGAATGCTTGTTCTTTTATTTTTGTGTGTTTATATCGCGGGAGCGAATATTCACTTAGGTTAGAGATTACGGGAGTAACTCTACACCACCTTTGCATTCTCACACTTGTTAAACCCAGATTTTAATATTGTTCTTAGGATTGGCATTAGGTGATTAAATACTTAAATCCCAAGAATCTCACTCTTTCTCAATTGTTTCCACAAACTTGCATACTTGTTCTTTTATTTAGTTTTGCCATTGCTCAATTAAGTCTTTCGTTAGGATTAGCTTCTCGTACATAAATTAATAGCTAGTGATTAATACTCCACTTCCCTGTGGATCGATAACCTGATACTCCATGTATTATTTGTTTGAGAAATATACTGCAATCAAATTGGCGTCGTTGCCTGGGAAGTGGCGTTAAGTATTAACATTAGTGAAAGTTTTATTCTAGGAGTCTAATCTATTTTTATTTTGTTCTATTTTTGCTAACCCATAATAAGTTGTTTCCATTGAGTTAGCAAAAATAGAACAAAACGGATTATTGCCTTTGAACCTTGGTTTTGTACTGCAATCTAAGAACTTGGTTTTGTATGCGTACACGATCTTTGGGTAAAGAAGGATTATTGCCTTTGAACCTTGAGATTGAGAAAAGAGCCAAGTTCCTTAGAAAGCAGAGAAGAATGACACAAGTACTAGGAAACCAAATCAATCTAAATCCTAATGGATGTGGAGATGACAATGGAGTCAATTAACCACCACCTGTGGGGAGATCCATGTCTAACTACATTGCTCCAGATGTTGAGGAGCATGACAGCATTAATGTGCCGGGTGTGGAGGCCAACAACTTTGAAATCAAGCCAGCCATTCTACACATGGTTGCTTCGGATCAATTTGGAGGGTCACTCATAGAGGATCCCAATGCCCATATCACAAAGTTCCTAAGGGTATGTGGCACCTTCAAAATAAATGGAGTCCCTCAAGAAGCCATTAAGCTACGTCTTTTTCCTTTCTTGGTAAAGGATAAAGCTCGTAGTTGGCTCATCTCACTACCAGACAACCATTTTGCTACATGGGATCAACTACATGGAGAGTTCTTGAAAAAGTTCTGCCCAATTTCCAAGACTCAAAGGATGAGGAGAGCAATTCAAAATTTTAAGCAACTGGCAACTAAATCTTTGACTGAGGGTTGGGAGAGATTTAAAGAGTTGAGGAGGCAGTGTCCACACCATGGCATTCAAAGTTGGGATTTGATGATGGCATTTTATGAAGGTTTGCTTGATAGTTCAAGAGTTCTAGTTGATACTTCTTCGGGTCGATCATTCACAGTTTTGGATCCAACTCCAGCCGATGAATTATTGGAGAAGATTGCTATGAATGGATCAACATGGTACTTGGAGAGATCTTCTCAAAAACCTGTAGGAGGCATTCATGAAGTGAGCCTTGTCAGCCAAGGTAGATAATGTAGCTTCCTTGGTCCAAAAGCTAGCCCAAATCACTCTCAAAAATCAAAATGTGAGTTATGTTTCTACTCCTTTGGGTCAAGTTTTGATGTGTGACCTTTGTGGTGGACATAATTTGGGGGAATGCCTAAATGATTCAAGTTCTCAATCCCTTATGGAACATATTAATTTGGTAGGATATAATAGGCTACCACAACAATCCTTTCAACCTCAAGGAGCCTATAATCCTAACACCGTAAGGAACCACCCAGATTTTTCATGGAGTAACCCAATGAGGCTGCAAATCCCAACACTTTGTTAATAGAGGTCCACCGAGTTTTCAAGGGCAACAATTTCAAGGTATGCAATCTCAATCTCAATTACCCGCTTTGAAGGCTCCACCACCACAAAACTTGGAGGCCATGATGTGTATGTTGCTCAAGTCCCAGCTGCAAAGTGAAGAGAGGATCGATCAAGTGAATGAGAGGTTGGATCAATTGAGTGCCCACAATAACATGCTAGAGAATCAACTTGCCAATCAAGCATCTACATCTTCCACCAAAGTCACTGGAAAGTTGCCCGCTTGCACCGAAAATCCTATAGCACATGTTAATGCAATTGTTACAAGGACTGGGAAGATACTTAGTGAGCTATCTCTTCCAATTGAAACATCAATTCCAAATAAAATTGTTGATGTGGAGATTGAGGAGAAACTTGATGAGGAAGAAGTTGAACCAGCTATCTTGAAGCCAAATCCACAAGTTCGTGATGAGATGGAGAAGCCCGTGAGAAGGTATGAACCACCTTTTCCCTTCCCTCAAAAATTTCAAAAGCAAGTAAAAGAGAGTAGGTGGAAAAAGTTTTTGGAGGTAGTTGAAAGTTTGAAAGTTTCAATGCCCCTACTTGATTTGCTTTCACAAGTTCCATCTTATGGAAAATTTTTAAGGGATATTCTTGCTAAGAAGAGGAAGTATGGGGAGCAAGAAATGATTGCTATGGCACAAGAGTACCGTGCTTTGACACCTGGTATAGGGAAGCCTCTTCGTAAGCATAGAGATCTGGGGAAGTTTACTATCCCTTGTGTGATTGGTGGCCGTCTTATAAAAAGATCCCTTTACGATTTAGGATCCAATGTGAATGTCATGCCTCTATCCCTTTGTCAAAATTTGAATTTGAGGGTTCCACAACCAACCCAACTTACATTGCAATTCGTTGATCAGTCTTCTAGGAGCCCCATTGGAATTATTGAGGATGTTCTAGTCCGTGTGGACAAGTGTTTTGTGCCTTGTGACTTTATTGTGATAGATGTGCAAGAAAATCCCAATGTTCCAATCATTTTGGGGAGACCTTTCTTGGCCACAACTGGAGCTGTAATTGATGCAAGGAAGGGGACAATGATTTTTTTTTTTTTGGGAAAAAAGAGTTGCATTTAATGTTCTTGATGAGCCACAATCTCTTGGAGTTGGAGAACGCAACATGCTCTACACCATGTCTTGGAATGAGGATAACCTCGTGCGGATCAACCGGGATGAGCACTCCATAAAGAGGTTACGTCGAGTTAGCGACGTTAAAGTTAGCGCTTCTTGGGAGGCACCCTATGTTATCTTTCATATTGCATTTTTATTACTTTTCTTTATTTCATCTAGTTAGTCTTTTATTTTGTTTTCTTTAGTTCGTGTTTTTTTATTCTTTTTACCTTTCTCTTTTCTCTTTTCCTTCTTTTCTTTGGTTTTGCATCAGGGACAATGCAAAGTTTTAAGTGTGGGGGAGGAGTTTACAATTTAGGGTAAATTTCAAAATTTTTGCTTAGATGACTCAAATTCTTTTGGTTAATAAGTTACTTGTCTTAGCATGTAGTTACATTTATTCTCTCTTGTTGGTTTGTGTTTTGTTTCGGTGGTACTTGTTACAATTCAATTTGTGATTGATGATTTGAGGTGTAACACGTGATTGATTTATTCTCTTGCCAATAGTCTTGTTAACCACTCATTAATTGAATTAGTTCTTTCTCTTGTGTGTTATACATTGCTAGTGAAGGCTTATGTAAGATTCCGCTCGTGGGTGTTATGCTAGAACTTGCCTCATTTCTCCCTAAGTGAAGTCTAAGTATTGCATGTTTTGAAGTGATTTGGGCCATTTTTGTTTAGCCATAGCCTGTAAGCCTACCCTTATACATGTTATTACCCCTTAGCATGCATTCTTTATTGATGGAAATGTAAAAAGGGAACATTCGTATTTTCCTTTCTTTAGTTGTTATAACTGTTGTTGCTACATAAGGTGGCAGTTTTCCCTTTTCCAGTTAATGAATCAGTTTTACGTACCAAAGGCATTCCAATGAGAAACTCTCTCCCTTCCCTGCTTTCGTAAAGTTCAGTTTACGATATGGTATCAGAGCCTCCGAGGCGGGGTTCGTACGCCGCCCCCATCTCCGGCGAGGCGAGTCAAGAAAGGAATTCAGCTTCACCGATCGCTCGCTTACTAGCTCACACTGCATCGATGACGGTTCCGCAGAGGAACTCCAATCCACAAACACAGAGAAGCTACGGAACAGATGATCTGGAGAATCCGTTCTTCCTCAACGTGAACGAGAATCCCTGTGCGATCCTAATTAATCCTCCCTTAATAGGCAGTTCCAACTACACTTCCTGGTGCATCTCCATGAGGATCGGCTTGGAGGTGAAGAATAAATGGTGGATCATCGATAACAATAACTCATCTCCGAATAGAGAAAGCAATCAGTATGCGGCTTGGAGGCGCTGTAATCTGATAGTGTGCTCCGGGATCTTCAAATCAGTACACACCTCCATTGCTCAAAGCATCATACACTTGGACAAGGCACGAGAAGTCTGAGAGGATTTGAGAAAGAGATTCGCACAATGCGACGCACAGAGGATTTCGACGCTACATAATGAGATTTATAATCTGAAGCAAGGTGTTCTTTCCGTGAGTGACTATTATACAAAATGTAGGACTATGTGGGAGGAGATGAATTCGATGAGGCCTCTCCCAATATGTAAGTGCGATCCGAAGTGCAGTTGCGATCTCATCGACGTAATCAGAAAAGAGCGGGACGTCGATCAAGTGATAAGATTCCTTCAAGGGTTGAACGATGACTATAATGGCAGAAAAGGTGGAATGGCAGATTGGCACAACAAACATCAACATAAGTGGCCTAGAAATTAACCAAGCTAATTCTATTCAGTTTTCTCAGCCACCTGCAGAGGAGGTTATAGCTGCTATTAATTCATACAATGGCAGACAGTATACAAATAATGGAAGCAACAAAGCTAAGTGTGTTTTCTGTGGCATAACGGGGCACACCATTGGCAAGTGTTATAAGAAGCATGGCTACCCCCCAGGTAGGTGCCCAACTACAAGTCCAAGATGAAGCAACAAAATGCTGCACCAGTGGTAAACAACATGGTTGATCTGGGAATTAGTAGTGATCAGTTTCATAAGCTCATGCTAGCTATGCAAAACCAAATGGGACAACCTTCCAATTCCAATACTATTGCTGCAGTCTCCTTATTCCCAGATTCACTGAGGAAAACAGCGAAGGAAAGTATTTCTCATCCCGTATTAATTCCCTTTCAATTTGCAATTCTACTTGGATATTAGATTCGGGTGCTACCGATCACATTACTTGCTCTATTGAATATTTTGATGAATATTCCACTGTTGAAGGGGAAAAAGTTAGTCTACCCACTGGGAACCGTGTTGCTGTGAATCATAAAGGCAGTGTAAAGCTTGGGAACAACTTGTGGTTAAGAGATGTTATGCACATCCCATCCTTCCAATTCAATATAGTATCAGTGAACAAATTGCTTCAAGACACCTCTTATAGCTTGATATTTTCTTCTGGGCAGTGTCTAATTCGGGAACCCCATGGGATGACGGTGGTTTAGCTAAGCAAGAGAGGGGACTATACTTGAAGAGGCCATGAATGAAACCTGCTTCTTACCATAGAAATTTGATCATGCAATGTAATAAAATTGAGATATGGCACCAACGTTTGGGACATTTCCCCTTGAATAAATTGCATTTGTTCAAAGAAATCCCGAGTTTATCTTCTACTAATAAAGCTTGTGATGTGTGTCATTTAGCCAAACATAAACGCTCTCCTTTCCCTTTGAGTATTACAACAACAAAAGCATGTTTTGAGCTCATCCATGCGAATAAATGGGGTCCTTTCCCGGTATGATTGATGAAAGGGGAACAATATTTTCTGACTTTGGTGGACGATTACTCTCAATTCACTTGGCTACACCTAATGAAGAAGAAGTCAGAAGTTAGAGAACTGATAAGGAGGTTTCACAGCATTCACACAGTTTGGGGCCTTAATCAAGACAATCAAAAGTGATAATGGCTTAGAATTTGACATGGCAGATTTCTTTGCCGAGAAAGGAATTATTCACCAAAGATCGTGTGTCAATACTTCGCAACAAAACGCTGTGGTTGAAAGAAAGCACCAAGATATACTTAATGTTGCTAGAACTCTTCGGTTTCAAGCCAATCTACCATTGGAATTTTGGGGGCAGTGTGTTAGGCATTCTGTGTTCATCATCAATCGTCTCCCATCACCTGTGATTGAAGGAGAAAGCCTCTATCTCAGACTACATGGTAAAGATCCTGATCTTAAATTCCTTAAAGTATTTGGTTGCCATTGTTTTGCTTCCACTCTGCCCCATTCAAGAAATAAAATGGAACCTAGGAGCAGAAAGTGCATTTTTATTGGGATGCCAGCTAACATGAAAGGCTACATTTTGTATGACTTGGTTGACAAATCCATTTTTGTGTCACAAGATGTGGTTTTCCACGAATTGGAATTCCCTCTATCTAACAGGTTACAAAGCCAACTGAGTTCAATCCTCCATTGCCAAACATTCCCACATCAACATCCTTGAATTTTGAATATGTGAATACTGGTGAATCAGATGCCAATCAATGGGTTGATGTTGATCGTCATGAGCTTATTTCTGGAGAGTCGCCTGCTAGGCAGTCACCACACGAAATCACTTCCAATAACACACCAGTGCATGATGCTGCTATGAATGGTCAACAGTCACCTAGGCCCATGTCTCTTGAACCACAAGAAGCTGCTGAAAATGATGTTGAAGCAGCCAGTGATACACACCCAGTTTGTATGCGTCGCTCAAACAGAGAAAGACGCATACCTAGCAAACTTCAAGATTACTACTATGATATAATAACAAAACAAGGGACATCTCCTCACGTTCTCTCTAGAGTCATCTCTTATGATAACTTGACAGATTCACACAAGGCCATCACCATGTTTGTCACTTCCATAACAGAGCCCCGCACGTATAATCAGGCTATTAAGCAAGACTATTGGAAAAACTCAATACAGGCAAAAATTAAAGTCCTCCAGGATAACAATACTTGGCAACTAACTGACTTGCCCACTGGTAAAACTCTTATAGGCTGCAAGTCGGTTTACAAGGCTAAGCTCAAGGTTGTTGGCACATTAGAGCGATACAAGGCGAGATCGGTAGCCAAGGGTTATACACAACAACTAGGGGTGGATTACATCCAGACATTTTCCAGGTGGCAAGACTCACTACCATTCGAACCTTCTTGGCTGTGTGGCTGCATCAAAGGCTTGGCATATCCATCAATTGGATATCAACAACGCCTTCCTACATGGAGATTTAAATGAGGAGGTATATATGGTTCTCCCTCCCGGAATTCAAAGTGACAGGCCAAATCAAGTGTGCAAACTGTTAAGGTCACTTTATGGCCTTAAGCAAGCTAGTCGTCAATGGAACGCCAAACTTACTACTGCCCTACTGCAAGAAGGTTTTAAACAATCCAGTGCTGATCCATCTTTATTCACCAAAGGTACTAGCAGCAACTAGGTGAGGATATGTGGTGTAATCCACACCATTCATTTTAAGGATTGCACGTATAATCCACACCATTCATTTTAGAGATTGCACGATCATGATTTAAGCTAAAATTAGTGATTGAGCTTGGACTAGAAACTGCAAAGACTAAAAACTGCCAAATAAATAATATAAATTACAAAAAATAACAACCATTAGATTTGCTAAAATCAAAGGCCAAGAAAGGACCACATGTTCTCACATAACGTAGTGTTTTCACGTGATTAGAAATATATATATATATATATATATATATATATATATATATATATATATATATATATATATATATATATATATATATATATATATATATATAGAGAGAGAGAGAGAGAGAGAGAGAGAGAGGGTTGAGTTCAAATGAGGACAACAATATATAGAGGACTGTGCAGACAAATAATAGGCACACAACAAATTAATATTACCTACACAATTTAATACATAATGACACACAAGAATACATGTAAACATCAGGTTTCGAACACACGCTCTATTAATTAATAAATCTAAGCACGCGACTCACAAACTGTGGTACACGACTTCAACCGGGAGGGGGGAAGGGTTTAGGTACAGGTATAGCTTTTCATGCGATTGTACGGTTGACGCACCTTAAGTACACAAACCACACGCGCCTTAAGCACACAAACAAAGCACCTTAAGAACACAAACCACGCGCACCTAAAGCCTTAGCCCGGCGCACCTTAAGTACACAAACTACTCACCTTAAGTACATAAACCACGCACCTTAAGCACACAAACCACGCACCTTAAGTACACAAACCACGCACCTAAGGTTTTAAAACGGCACACCTTAAGTTTCATCAACTCACACACCTTAAGCATACAAATCACGCACCTTAAGAAGGAAAACAATGCACCTTAAGAATGAAAACCACGCAACTTAAGCTTCAAGTTGACGCACCTTAAGTTTTAACAACTATTCACTTTAAGCACACAAACCACGCATCATAAGCACAAAAACCAAGCACTTACAAAAACCACGCACCTTAAATTTGACCTAGATGCAAAAATTACCAAATTGCCACCACGTTTTTTTTTATTTTGTTAATCATGGACATTGATTTAAACACGATCAATGACTTATATTGAACCGCACAACAACACCTAGGCGCACCAACAACATTTGAACCTTATTATATATATATATATATATATATATATATATATATATATATATATATATATATATATATATATATATATATATATATTGATTGCGGTATAATTTGACAAACAAATAAATACCCGCAGTATCGGGTTATTAATCCACAGAGAAGCGGAGCGTATCAAGCACTAGCTACTAATCTATTCACCAGAAGCTAATCCTAACGAAAAGGGTGATTGATTGATTGTAAAAGTAAAACTAATTAAAAGAGAACAAGGTAGCAGGTTGATGAAAACAATAGAGAAAGAGTGGGATTTCTGGGGTTCAAGTGCTTAATC